TTTTTTTTTTTCTTTTTTTTACAATCCAATTTATGATTTCTTTTTTTAATTGAACTATTCAGATGAAGAAGATGAAATTGAGCAAGCTTTTCAAACTGACACAATTCTCACACCTCAACCTTCGTCTTCTGCTCAAATCGTATATACTCGGAGGGGTTCCAGACCGCGCAGGCCTACAAAACCATTCACTCCTTCCTAGTTAGTAGTGTTGAATTCGTGGAATTGTGTTTATTTTGGATTGTTGGATTGTTTGTATAAACCGAATATATCGTTTTGTATATATTGTTTGTTCGACAAATTATTGTGTTTCATTTGTTTGTTTATATGATATGTTGGATTATTATTGGGCGAATATGTTGATATTAGTTGCTCGAACAGGTGTATTTGGTTGTGAACATTATTTCAATTTGAACAGGATTTCTGATAAAAATGTATTCCGTAAATACGTGTTACAGTTTTTTAAAACAAAAAACGTATTTCGTGAATACGTTTATATTGGATTTAGGGTTTTGGGGCAAAATTAGGGCACCAAAAATCAATTCGGGGCAAAATTACATATAAAACGTATTTACGAAATACGGTTTACATTTCGAAATTTTTGTCCCGAGAAAAATTATTTTTAGGAATTGTGAAAATTATTTTTCTTTTATAAAACGTATTTACATAATACGTTTTGTAATAAAAAAATTATAAACGTATTCGCTTAATACGTTCTTATTTTTTTAGATTGTCAAACGTATTTCGTTAATACGTTTTATAATAAAAAATATATATACACCTAATTTTGAATTAAAAACGTATTCACTTAATACGTTCGTATTTTTTTTCGGCATAAAACTTATTCAGCCAATACGTTTTACCTTGTTTTACTTAAGTTAATTACGATACTTAAGTTAACAAATTATTTTTTAGGGAAACGTATTCCAGGAATACGTTTTATTATTGAGGGCGTATTAGCTGAATACGGTTTTTAAATGAAAACGTATTCCTGTAATACGTGCTTTTTATTGTGGTCGACAATATTTTTTTTTTAAAAAAATCATGTTTCATTGCATTTAAGTCGAAATCATTTTATTTGTTCCGAAATGAAACTTCGATACAAATGGCGCGCAGTCCCCGAAATCATCTCACTGCCCAGAAATCAGATTCACCGAGATTACGCGCATACTTCAAAGAAGAAAAAATTCACCGGAAATGGAGTTGGCCAACGATAATGCTATTGCTGTCCGATTCTCGGATTCCATATGCCCGAATGAAGGCGCTTATCAGCCATCCCCAACGGTAAGTAAAATCCGCTCCCCGTTGCCATTTATTGTTGATACATTTGGATGACTGGAATTTGCAAGGAAAATTAGCAAGCCGCATTGATGGTTTTCCTACATTTGTCCGTAATGGGATTATTGTTGACCTCACGAGATTAGAATATTTGCGTTATTTGTCATCCCTGCCTGTGGATTTCAGTGATTTTAATGCGTAATTATTCGAAATTTTGTTCTTTTCACTTTATGAACAATCTTATTCTCGAATTCTGAAGAGGAATGAGCTGTTGCTGTAATCTCATTCGGGTTTTTTGATATCTTGCGATGTGTATTAAATTTATGGCCACTTTCGGTTCCCTCTTTTGTATGTGTACATATTAGGCTTTGGATAACTCAAATTCTTTTTATTTCCTGGTGTCTCTGGCGTCTACTTGTCCAGTTTCTTGATAGGTCTTTCGGGTTTTTGTGTATAGAAATATTTGTCACTTTGATTTCATGTAGAACTCTGGGACTGGATGAGTCGATAGTTTCAGGAACCTCTTATGGTTTAACTTTATGTTCTTAGGCCTTTTCATTCTTCCTTCCTTTCTTTTTCTTTTTAGTGTGTGTTAGTGTGAGGCTAAGATGGGTAGTGGAGCATCAAAGGCTGATACAGAATTAGTGAAATTGTGTAGGGAGAGGAAAGAGTTCATAATTGCTGCCAGGGATTCTCGTGATTCCCTGGCATTTTCCCATATGATGTTCCTTGAATCTATGCAGAATGTACAAATTGAACTAAAAAACTTCATGGAGGAAGTTCTCGTGATTCGTGTTGATTTAGATTCTGATGCAGGTTTCCATCATCTGCCGATCGATGTAGCCACCGATTCCGAGAATTCTTCTTTGAAATCTCATAGCGATGAAGATGAAGATGAACTTCTCCCACTAAATAATCGTGCAGATGAAGTTCTGAAGCCACCAGAAACTCAGTCAGAAAATGCGAGCGGACAAATGCCACCATCAGATGATTTCGTCGCCCCTCCTAAGAAGAATGAGATCTCAAAAGGAGTTTCAGCATATAAAGCGTCGAGTAACTCTGCCGTGGTTAAATACGAGAGATGGGATTCTTCAGATCATAGGATGGATCTTCCACTAGATAATTTTAGTCCATCACAGAATTTTGGGTTTGATCAGGATACTAATGGGACATCTCTTGGTCTCAGAACTGATTATTCTGTTGCAAACACGAGGTTCTTTCAGCATGAGCGAGGACCACCAGAGCATTACATGATGGATATTCCATCAGATGATGCTGATAACTATTGGATCCTTTTTGGTCATCCATCATCAAGGCATCTGGGCCAAGAGGTGTCAACTTGGGATTATATAAATCCCTTTAATGTGGTTGAGGATATTTTTCCTAGTTTTTATCCACATGGTAGTCGTTTAGTTGATTACATGGGCAATGATATGGATTTAAGTGAAATGGGAGATAGTGAGGAGGGTATTCCGGACCTTGAAGATGAGCTCGATGATCCAATTCTGGAGGATTCTTTGGGAGAGGGAAATTTAAACAGAAATGAAAATTCAGAAGAGTGTCTTTCTGAGGAGGTAGCTGTGAAGGATGCGAATGATGATTGTCTCAACCAGAAAGCAGAATTGGGGAGCTCTGGAGATGGCCAAACAAATATCAGGAATGAGAAAATCGATGAGACTGAAAAAGAAAAAGAATTGGGGAGCTCTGGTGATGGATCAACAAGCACTGGTGATGGGCCAACAAATATCAGGAATGAGAAAATTGACGAGACCGAAAAAGAAGATTCTGGACATCGGCCCACCTCTTCTGAACCAGATTTGAAGGTGAAAGAGATGGAAGAATCTGAGATTTGTAATGGGGAAGAAGATTCTTTCCACAAGGAGATGGAGAAATCAAAAGCTCGTGAAGGACAACTCTCATCTTCTCAAACGGATGAAAGTTTGGTGGAAATTGTGTCAAAATTATCTGCCAATAGCTTAAGTGATCTGCGAGAAGTTGTCACTGAAATCAAGGTTGCATTTCATGACATTATTGTCCACGGGAAAAATGTCTCCAATATGCTTGGCCCATGTCATCCTGGCATTGCTGTAAACAAGGGTATGGGTTTTATGATTCTGTAGATGCCTCGATTCTTTATGAGAATAATACATTTAGGTCTTTTTCTGATTTTCTTTTTCATTTAGTTAATAGATATGGTGCCTATCAGTATGTGTATGTCTGTACCTATATGTTTACTTTTGCACATGAGTGTGTGAGGATTGGATTATTTACATTATGCTAGGAAGTTAAGTTTAGATATATTCATATTGAAATCCATTATGATATCCTTGTGGTTGCATTAGTTTGAATCTGTGGACAAATAATATATTTGACTGTGGCAAATGGGTTCCAGGAAACTGTCTTTTTCGAATATCATACCATTGTTCTGCAAGTGCAAAACACTTTTCTGTCTGCATTAAAGTTCACTGTTATCACACTTGAAGTGGTTTCACTTTCGTGGTTTGACATATAGAAATGACAAGTATTTGACGCCTTCTATAATTATGGTCTCATACTCTCTTCTCTTGCTATAGTCAGTGTTTGTTTGATGCCCATCTTATATTCATGTTCTGTAATGTTTGTTTCTACAGGACTCTCTTGCTCTTCCTGCATTGAGGACTTGGCAGCCTCACCCAGAGAAGTATCATCAAGGCCAACTTACAGAATGCTAAAAATGACAATGGATAGTAATGAGAACCTTGACAATGAACCCATCACGACATCAAACAGCTTTACATTGACTCTTGAAAAGCTGTGCATTTGGGAAAATAAACTTTATGAGGAGGTTAAGGTAAATTCGGTGTTATGGTTGTTACTGGGTTCCAGAAAAGATACAATGTTTTTAATGCATGGGCCATGTGGATGATGATTCATGGCTTGGTAGTTGTAGCAGTAAATATATGCTCCATTTTTATGAGTTGAGTGCTTATTACTTCATCAGGGTAATTTTTGACCGTAGGCGTAGCAAGAACCAAAATAATGAGATAGTTTATGGGCCTTTTCTGTAGAATATAATATGCTTGTTTTTACGCATGAGTGTTTATATAACTTGAGTCAACTCATTATCTGTTAATCCTACTTATAGGCTTAGATTGCCAGGAGCGCGTAAACAGGATGCAGGTTATGTAAATGAGTCAACATATTGCCGATTAATCTCCAAAAAAATTTATTTTTGTAAATCAAAATCAAAAATCAATTATGAATACTACGAAAATGTATTTTTAATGTTATAATGTTATCAAAACGTGAAAGAATTCATTTGTGAAATCAAAATATTTCAAAGTTATCTGATCCCGTACAAGATATAATTCCCAAGATGCAAACTGTAAGTCCCACTTCAAATGCTCATCGAACACCTCTTTGTTCCATGTTTCCAACTTTTTTTTTCTTCAACATTTTCTCGGGATAAGAATTCATTTGCGCATGCGTGCGACTACCACAAAATACTTTTTAGGAAACTGATTCCTTTCTTTGAATTTACATCCATGAAAAAGAAGCACTACAAGATAATGTAAAATAACGACGGGAACTTTCGTTGCTAAAAAAGGACACTTTGTTTCAACCAATCTAGCGACAGATCATAAACTGAAAGAGTAAGTCGTAGGTCTGCTTTTCATTGAATTTCTGACAAAAGGCTTTTCTGTCCTAACATTTATTAGCGGAAAAGTCGGTCGATAAATGTAAAAGATTCTATCTTTAAGGTTTTCCTGAAACTACTCTTATAATAAATTGACAGATGATCAAAATTTACTACATCTTTAAGGTGTTTCCTGAAATCCCTTTTCTAATAAATTGACAGCTGATCAAAATTTACTACAGGATGAGATAGCTAAGTAGCTATCATGTGGAAAGTACCAAAGATGTCGACCAAGTGTCGTTATATGGTGCACATTTCTGACAGGTCACCATAACTTTATATAATGATAGGCATGTCACTGTTTAAATCTTTTTTGTATATCCTTATGGTTTTGAGCGTAATTTTCTTTCCCCAAAAAGCCTTCTCTTGCCCCTGCATTACATTATTCGACCATGTATACAGCATTGGAAGCGTGCTTACAAACCGCTGCATCAAGAATCTCTGAACTTCTGTTTTTGCTTTCTGATGCAGAATTGTGATTAGGAGACTACTGGACAAACTAACTAAAAAGTTGTCGAAATAGATTATTTGTCACTTTACTATTTTGTAGGATTTGATATTCATGGATTGATATGCCTTAAATCGTAATGTATGTATGTTGTGGGATGTAAAGAACCACCATGCACATGTCTGCGCATGCATGGCACCGGAATGTCATTAGAAAAAAAAAAAAAAAAAAAATTAGAATAATCTTTTTGAACATACCATTTATTTGGAGTTCTGATCCTTTGGGAACGTTTCTGATTGTTTCAGTAGCTCCAGATTTCAAATTTTAGTATTGTATAACACACTTCACCTGACTATTTTGTATTCGACAATTTTAGAAGGAAGAAAAACTCAGACACAACTTTGACAAAGAGTGGAGAAAGCTGAAGAAGCTCGACGATAAAGGTGCGGAGTCCTCCAAGGTCGATGCTTGCAACTCTGAACTCAAAAGATTGACTGCAATAATAAATGTTTCAGTCTCAACTGTCGAGGGGGTAGCAAAAAGGACACACATGATAAGGGATGAAGAGTTGCATCCCCAACTCTGTGAATTGATTCAGAGGTATGTCGTATGCGATATATGTTTTCCTGGTTCTTTTTTCCTTTTTCCTTATATTTTGTTAAATATTGTATCTTTTACTTCATATATGCCTATTCAGTTGATATAAACCCGTAGAACATTATACCAGAGCTAGTATAACAGATATTCAGCTTAAATGGAATTTTAGAAATTCCAGCAGTCAATAAAGATAAATGATGTGGCCCAAGGCACTATCATAATTTCCTTCATGCTTTAGAGATATATGTGCAAAAATTGCGCATTGTTCATATTTTGATATAATTATGAATAATGATATAATGCTCTTATTTAATTAGGGTACGTCGGTCTATCTGATATTCAGTAGAAATGGTGTTCCAACAGCACGTGCAATGGCTTTGAGGATTAAAGTCCGTCGGTCTATCTGATATTCAGTAGAGGGTAGAAAAGCATGTTGCTACTGGTAGTTTCAAACAAGTGAAAATTTAATTCACATATATAGTGGCCACAGTAGGCGAAAGATAGGAACTTTTGAGATTCATTTTTTCGTTTTCTTTAATAGGTTAATTCGTTCGATGGAAGCTCAAAACGAGTTAGAAAAATGTATTCATTATACATTGCCAAAATTACTTATTAGTTGGTTAAGTAAATATTCACACTAATTTTGGAAGTAATTACGTCCCGTCAAGGACATGCAATATCTATCTCTGCATTTTCATTCGTAGAGCACATTTCCTGCACCTGTAACGCACACACCTTCTTTATATTACCTAAAAAACCAAGAAGGAAAAATATTGAATATCCGAACCTGAATGAATATTCATTAATAAATAATGTCGCTATATCACATAGTCGCAAGGCGCTAACTTTCCACGATTTCACAGTCAAACTTAAACCCCTTTTCCCTTTTTCTCTATCTACAGAGTGCACACAATGTGGAAATACACTTTCGAATCCCACAAGAAGCAAGTCCAGGCCATCTCCAAAACCCAAGCTAAGGTCACGGCCACCACTTGCAAGGCCCACGACTCAGGCTTGAAGGCCACCGAGAATCTCGAAGCCTCGATCCACAATCTTTGCACAGCTTTCTCCGAGTGCGCCAAGAGCCACCGAGCACTTGCACTGCACCTCAACAACTGGCTCTCCAAATTCCTCCCCCAAAAACCCGAACAAACACCACAGCTTTTTGCCATGTGCAGTGAATGGCACAATTCACTCGAGATAGTCTCTGAGAAAGACGTGCTGCAGGCTCTAAACACCTTTGGACAGCTCTTGCGCCAGCTGTGCATGGACATGCGAGATGAAGGGCGTCAGAGAATGAGGATCGGATACTTGTTGGGCTATCATGACCGGAAACTGAGGAGCTTTTGCTTGCGGAATGGGCTGGACTTGGAGAAGTGTGCGTCTTTTATCAAGGAGATGGGCCCGGGCTTCGAGACGGGCTTTTCGTCCCTTCACGGGCTGTATGCAGACTTGAAGCCGATTAGGATAAAGCTTGCTGAGGCACGTGTGAAGCATGAAGAGGCGTTGGTAAGGATTCGTGCTTCTGGAGTGGGAATAATACGAGATGGGATTTCCCCAGTTTTTGAAGCTCTCGAGAGGTTTAGCCTGGGGATGTTGAACGCTTTCCAGCAAATCAGGACCCTTAGTTGAGAATTAGAGTTTTTTTTTTTTTTTTTTTNAAGCTGATGATCGGTTAGGACTCACTCTTGTGCAATCTGTGGCATATTGGAATTTGATAATTGTAGTTTATGGATTTCATTAGTTATATTCCTAGCAGCATCTCGTCTCATGTGCGTTTCGAGTGCACATTTTCTACACGAGTATCAGGTGCATCAGTTCTTGAGTTCCGGTTGAATATTGACATAAAGTCTGATGATTTTGTGGGTTCTATTTTTGGGTCAGAACTTTATATACATCAATTGAATATGAGATTGCTTTTGTCTGACTCCAATGAATGTGCATGATGTGGGGAAATGGAGAATTGAGCTTCTGATGCAAAATATAAAATCTCATCTCATGGGAGAGGTGGCTTGATTTTACCAAGTTTAATTGTCATTTAATGTACATGAATGAATGTAGTAAAAAGTACAATTGGTGGAACAAAATTATGGGCTCGATAACATTAAAATTCTGTTTCTAAATTTTCTAGCCATGATATATAAAGCTTTTACATACGGCATGCATGTATGAGTATGACATGGCGCTTGAAAAAAATTATATGCGCAAACAAAAATTTAAAAAGTTCATGGTGCTTACGGGTTGAGACATCTCGTCCCTAAAGATATATAATAATTGAGCCTCAAATTTGCAAAAATTACACCAAAAAGATATATAATGATTGGTCTCAAGGCTCAAGCTAACGACCAGCCCAGACCGACCAAGGCCGCCCAAGTGCAACCCATAGTCCAATTGCCAAGGACCTAGGCCCAGGCAAGCCTGATCCCAAGCCCGTACTCAATACCAATACTTGGTGCATAGTTTTGTTGTTATTCTGACCTTACCAACTCTCATTATTATAATAAAGAGAGTTAATTTTATTTAAGAGTTCTATGTGGGATATGACTTTTGACATTTCAAATCCCACAACTAATGTTTTGCATGCCCATTTATGACTAACTTTAATCATTTTTTTTTTCACTCACTGAAAATCAGTTTTAAGAAAATAAATATACCACGAGTACCTACTCGGGACGTAGAATTTTTCTACATAATTTAATTTAGCCCGAATTAAATATTTAAACATAAAAAATTCAGTCAAAACCGAGTCAAACCCAAGTTCTTTAATTTTTTTTCCAACAGGATTGAAATTTGTAAAAGATATATGCATCACACTGAAAGTATGCAAATTATAAACTCAATGATATTGACGGTAGCTAATTATATCGAGCCCTCCTTCTAGCGCCAAACTGTTGATGTCGAAAATCGGACGATCAACCGTCAAAGATGAATTGAATTTCTATTGTAAAAACGAAGAACTAGATCATTAACATGGGTGTTTCCTTTATATTTTAGAGAGAATATTTTCCTTTTTTTTGTTGGGGAGAAAAGGAAAGGAGAAGAAGACCCCTCTTTCTCCTATATATATATATATATATATATGTTTCCTCTTTGCAAGTGAATGGATAATAATACACTATCATTTAATGCTATGGACAACCGGAGGGCCCACTTATAACTTTTGACGGCTTTGACTGACGTCTATCTTCCCGATAATTGTGACGTCTACCGAAGGCGGCCTTTTTATGATATTTGTGACATCCGATTACTTCAAATTATGTTCGGCTCGGCCACGGGCGGACTCGCCATCTGGGGACCCGGTCGGTTTTTGGATGATCAATCTTGCGTACCTGTTCGTATATTTATTTATCATGTATTTTCAACTCCTTAGTTTTCGGGTCGTATTTTATTACTTCATTTATCATTTATTTAATTGGAGGCAAATTGGGTATCAACAGAGATATCTCGGTATGTTATGTCAATATGGGAAATAATGGAAATGAATAAGTATCGACACACACAAATGATTGGCGCTATAAATCATAGTTTTTAAACTCGGCCCGGTAATCGACCCGGACAGGTCCTCGGGTCACCGGTTCAATCGTTGGGTCACCAGGTCAATTGATGAACCGGATAATTAATTTTAAAATTTTTAGAATTATATATAGAGTATTTTTGTCATATAAATATATATAAAAGTAACAAAATTAAATGCTTTGTGTATAAAATTTGTACATTAAAGTGTTAATAATATGTATTTCATGATAAATATTTACCATATAAACATATATACATAGTTTTATTTTTAAAAACAAAAAATTAAAATAAATAAAATAAATATATATGGACCGGGTCAACCGAAATGCCCCGGGTCGGCCGGGTCAACCGGGTTTGATCGGGTCCTTTGTTGCCCGGTCCAAATAGCCCGAACCAGTTCCGGCTCCGGATCGACCCGTCGGGCCGGTCCGGGTTAAAAAAGCACTGCTATAAGTATTGACAATAAGACCATTGAAAACTACTGATAATGAGAATAAGTTTAAGACTGAAAGTTGCACAAAGCATGATATGGTGTATTATTATGAATACCATTAGTATCTGAATATCCGAATGAATAAATATATATAAGACTCGTACAAATTATGGAAAGATTGATGAATATATGGAATATCCGTTGTATTCTTTAATCCTTGGCTGAGGTTTTGTCCCATTGAGTTTCTCTAGCAAGGTTTTGAATGAGACAACTAATATGCGTATTCACATGAATAGTGTACTTTTTTTTCTTCATTAGAATTTTGTCCCACTGGGTTTTTTTTCTAATAAGATTTTAACGAGGCATATTCATGGTATACTGAGGACTAGCGGATAATGATATGATTCCTCATGATATTAAGAAGAGACTGGAGTAGTTGAACTCTTTTTCCTTCGATCAAGTTTTTTCCCACTGGTTTTCTTGATAAGGTGTTAATGAGGCTGCACATGGATATTTCACTAAAGATACTCTTTTTTAGGGAGAGCAATGTTATGCTTCCACAATGCTCAGGTTTTGTCCCACCGGATTTTCCTGACATACTGAAATACCAGTACCTGATGATGACTACAGGCTACACTACAAGATGTTTAGATTGAGTTTTTTTTTTCCTATTTGTGTAGATATGTTTATGAAATAGTTATTCAGGGAGCATGCTATGAAATATCTATATATGTGAATGACTATTATTGTATTATTACAATTGTGTCATCAGAAGTTTTCCTATAAATAGGAACTTTACTTATAATGAAAATCGTACCAAGAAAATACATTTTTCTATTCTCTCTCTTTCCTTCTAGTTTTATAACAAAAATAGATTTCTCTATATAAGAAGCTAAAAATTTCTAAATAGTCACTCAAAAAATACGGTGTGCTTGAAATTAACATTAAATGGATATTGGATAAGTCATCTAGCTAGTTTATCTACTGGTTTCTAAACTATCAAATCATTGTGACAGATGTTATTTCTTGTTTTTCGTCTTTCTACACCTCAAAAAGTAATTATTCTTAATGGATAAATAAGCTTGTAACTAGGGTAGGGTTTGGTTGGAGGAGGAGAAATGATGAGGAATTTAATTCTCTCTCCCTCTCTCTCTCTCTCTCTCTCTCTCTCTCTCTCTCTCTTTCGAACGATGGAATTTCATAAATAGAACTCATGTTTACAAACTAACAAAACAGTCAGTAACATCCGAATGAAGTAGCTACACAGTTGAATCCCGTGGGAGGACAACCTAAAGGGCATCCTATACTACCACAATCACACCCACATTAATAAATTACTCCCACTAGTGGAGAATACGACTCCTAAAAGAAGAATAAACACCCAAAACAAACATAGATAGACACTTAACATAAACAAACTGCAAACTAACAATACTATAATTAAGCCCTCCCCACAGTTGGTCAACCACTTCGAACCCGAAAGCAGTAGACCCATGCATGAATCTAGAAACTCCTTTTGATCGATGGCTAACTAGATTTGGACCTACAGCTTGCACACCCTACCTAAGGAAAACCTCCAGAAAACACTGGGAGGCCCGCATCAAGACTCCACCCCTAACACGATTCGATAACCACAATCCCAAATCGATCGGAGTCGGAAACCGCCAGTGCCAGATGTACCCTCCATCCCAACACTAGGGAGAGGACGGGCACAAGCGAGAGCCGGACACAAACCACAACCCCAATCGCCGCTGAAATGGCGCTCGATGCCGGTGACCACAAATACACCGGCGAAACGCAGAAAACCCACCCACAGCCCCGCCATGGCCGCCCAGGTAATAGGTGAAGCGCCACTCGGAAGATGGGCCGGTGAGAGCCAGACACCCGCTGTCACCCCTGTGCAGGTCGAAGCCGCAGGGGAGCCGCTCCCACCGGTGAGAGGGCGCCGCAGGAAGCCGAGACGAGACGAGAGTTATGGTCGAAAAATTCGGGGACCTGATACAATGATTTTCTCTTGTTTCTTTAGTATGTATCGAAGGGTAGAACAAAAAATTTAGTAAAAATCCCTCAACTCCTTCATTTTCCTCTCCCTCAAAGAAAAAAAAATGAGCGATTCGGAGGAGGAAAAAAAATTAATACTTTTTTTTTTTTTTGAAACGTTAAAATTTTATAACTAACACAAATAATTACAAATAGAATATGGCCAAAAGCCGAATCTAAAGAGAAGTTATCCCGGAGGAGCCTAAATACCACAGCGCACCCACGATAATAGAAAAAATAAAAATTAATACTTTAAAATTATGTTTTTCCTATGTTTAAATTTTTTAATTCTTTTATTTTTTATATTATTAATAGTAAAATAGTTTTCTCAATTTATTTTTTTCAGTTTTTTTTTAACCAAATACCTATTCATTTCCCCCTTCAAATTGTTCAAACAAAATAAATTTATTTTATATCATTTCCCTTTATTTCTATCAATTAAAATCCCACTCCCTCCTCTCTATTCAATCAAGCATACCTAAACGATTTGTTAAAATGATATAACACGTCTATTAACTACTTAAATAATCTGATTGGAAGCCCGTGAAATTGATGAAGTTGTTCAAATATCGTCGGTGTTCCTCCGTTAAACCCACCACACTCCATTATCGCACATTTTCCCATTTCAATGAAAGCCCTTCCGCCCAATTTCTCGCCCTCCAACCACACCGACCAATCTCCGACGATCCTAAAGCAATCGCGGCCCAAGTTTCCGCCTCTACCAATATAAAGCAGCTCCGTCGGATTTTCTGCCGCATAATCCGAACCCACTTACTGCACCTACACCCGCACCCCTTTCACTACAACACCATCGCCAGAGTCTACAGCAGGCTCGAGTCCCCGCACGAGGCGCTGCGCGTCCTCTCCGCCATGCGCAGGGCCGGGCTCCGGCCAGACAGCTTCACTCTCCCCATCGTCCTCAAATCCGCCGGCCAGCTCTCTGACCGGCCCCTGGCGGAGCAAGTCCATGGGACCTCGTTCAAGCTCGGCCTCGACAAGGACATGTACTGCGAGAGTGGCTTGATTAGCGCCTACTCCAAAGGGGGCAGATTCGAGAGTGCCCGTAAGGTGTTTGACGAAAGTACCGAGAGAAAGCTCGGATCTTGGAACGCGATCATAGCTGGTTTGTCCCAAGGGGCACGCGCTAGGGATGCCGTGCATATGTTCTTGACAATGATGAGAAATGGGTTCTCTCCGGATGACGTGACCATGGTGAGTGTGACATCAGCGTGCGGAAACTTGGGGGACCTGGGTTTGGCCTTCCAGCTGCACAAGTGTGTTTTCCAGGCCAAAAATCCCGAAAAACCCGATACCCTTATGAACAATTCGGTTATCGACATGTACGGAAAATGTGGCAGGATGGATTTAGCATATAACGTATTTATTAAAATGGAGGAGAAAAACGTGTCCTCGTGGACTTCCATGATCGTGGGGTACGCCGCACAAGGGCATGTGGGTGAGGCGCTCGATTGTTTTGCTCGCATGAGACAAGAAAATGTGGGGCCCAACCATGTGACATTTGTTGGGGTTCTGACTGCGTGCGTCCATGGTGGATTGGTGAAGGAAGGGAAATACTATTATAGGATGATGAGGGAGGAGTATGGGCTGGAGCCCAGACTGGCCCACTATGGATGCATGGTGGATTTGTTGGGGCGGGCCGGGCTGCTTGGTGAGGCCCGGAGGATGGTGGAGGGGATGCCGATGAGGGCGAATGCGCCCGTGCTCGGGTGCTTGATGGGGGCGTGTGAGAAGCACGGGGATGTGGAGATTGGGCGGTGGGTGGCCGACAAGTTGGTTGAGTTGGAGCCCGAGAATGAAGGGGCATTTGTGGTATTGGCGAATATTTATGCGGATCAAGGCCAGTGGGGACAAGTGGAGAGGTTGAGGGGGATTATCAAGGAGAGGAAATTGGCTAAGCTTCCCGCTTATAGTTCCATTTGAAAATATTGGATTCGGATAGTATTGCCTCTTTTTATGATTGAGAGAGTTGATGGACTCACGGGGATGTGTCTGTGGAAAAATTAGTTTTGCAGCCATTCAAATGGCGGATGTGACATGGATCTAGCGTATTTGAATTCAACTATAAAATTCTTTTACCCAAGTTGAATGCAGGCACATCTGAGAATTGGATACTCTATGTCTAAAGAGACTAGGATTCAAAGTTATTTACCTGCTAGATTTCCAGAGTGTGGGACTGAAACATCCTTGATATTCTTGAAAGCTTTTCCAATTTTTAACCCCACCTTAGCAGAAATCCAGTAGTGGGGATATTTCAGGCATGCACCCATATGTCTAGTTCATTGAAGTCTCGATGATTTGCGCTCACGTCCTACTTCCATTCCTTTAGAATTAGAAAATGATTGGCAACTATGTCTTTGTCTGCCAAATCTGAAAATATGAATTGTAAAAAGTTTGGACTGAGTTCCTTGATCGTCACCGAAGCTCTAATTTGCCAGATTTGTCCAATATAGCTCTTTTAAGCCCTATCAAATGTGCTTTCTTTTGGCCCACTAATTTCCAGAATAAACTATGGTTGCATTCATCGGAGCTGTTACGAATGTCCTCTGAATCAATGGAGATGATACTAGCCTCTTTCGCCGATAGCTGAAAGGCCCCCAGCTTTTGGGCTAATTCGTCCTCCATGAGAGACTAGTAACGAGAGTCGGAAGAATGAAGCCTCTGCACAAGTTAGAAAAAGGAGGCCAAGACTACTACTACAAAAACCAGTCGAGAACTGCCACGACGGTTGACTAACCCGATAAATCACAGCGACATGTTCCAGTATGAAGGAAACTCAAGCCTGTATTTGAAGGAATTCGACCCTCAAGAAGAAAGAATTCCATCCTCATTGAAAAGAGAATCATTTTTTTTTTAAGAAAAAACCTTAAACAGCTGATATTTTTAATATTTATTTTTTCGATTAATCAAATAATGTCTAATTCAAATCTCATAAGTATAACTTAGCAATTAAATCATGTATCTTCTAGACGATTTTATAAAGAATTATGAAGGGCCAATAAAATCGTGTGTCCTACAATCATTAAATTTAGTAGAATCATATATCCTACACCTATAAATAGGTTCCAAAGTTAAAAATCGTAGCAATTTTAAATTAATACAATCTTAAATCGTATCCTTCACAATAAGTCTAAAATTCAAGAGTTTCCAATAAGCCCACGTTTTGCTTTAAATTATCAAAACACTCATGTAGAAAGTAGATTTATATACATATGTATATACTATATGTATAAAGTTTTGTGTACATTTGCATTACTAATTGTATTTAACGCTAATGTCATTAATATCCTAAGGTGTTATAACAAATATAAAAAATATTGACATTGAAAACTTATAAAATTACCGAAGTATGATAGTTGTGTACATATTTAGAGTTCAAAAATGTTTCTATTAAATATTTTCGAAATGCCCATACATAACTTCAATTATCTACAAAAAGAGATGTTTAAGCAATGTTTGGCAATGAATTCAAACAATATGATATTTCTAAAACATTTTTACATTTAAATAGAAAAAATAAATAATAAAATAATTGATAGGTATGATTTGGAAAATTGTAAAATATATGAACAAACTAACTAGGTATGGTGGTTTGTCAAACTGTCAAATCTCTATTTTTTTTTTTTAAAGGGGTGCAACACGAGGACTTCTCAGGGGGTCACCCATCCTAGTACTACTCTCGCCCAAGCACGCTTAACTTCGGAATTCTGATGAACTGTCAAATATCTATAGTATTGTGAAACTGTAAGTTAATGTGAAAGAAAATATTCCGAAATATTCATTCAAGTTTGAGAATGAGTATACCCATCATAGAGTAATTAATGTTTAGTGCAATAGTTACTACAAAATGAACTTGAGAATGTGAATTCAATTTGGAGATAGCCTTATATGTCTTGTGCAACTATACAACAGCAGCAAAAATAGATCATTAACATTCGGACCACAACAAGAATTCAGAAACTTCAGTAACAAATGTACTTGCAATAACGATGGTATATAATAATCAGAAACTGGTCCTTAATTTTGATCAATATGTCTATATGCTATGTTGATATGCTATAGGGAGATCAAATATGATTCAGTCAGCCTCGTTTGATCTTTCTGGTAAATAAATAAATTTCAGGTTTCTTCTTCAACCTGTAAAAACATTGTCTATCACCACTTCAATTCCGTTCGACTGGAAACGCAGCTGAAATCTTGCACAAGGAATTTGGGTGGGGAGGAAGCACAATATTAGTATAATAATACTTCAAATATATAACAAACTGCACAAACAACCCTTCATCTCCAGATATGTTCTAAACAAAGACGTTTGACTGTGACAATAATATATTATGGAAGTATCGTGAATTTTATGAAAAGATAAATTTCAACATATAAGATGAGCGAATGACGCATGGTAGCCTCAACACCAGAACTTATATATAAATTGCAAGTTGACATTAATAGCATGCCCTCTATAAAATGTTAAAACCAACAGATCTAAATTGATTCATGTGATGAAAATTGAAATCCATCCATATTTCTGTGTAAATAACTAAATGAATAAAAAAAAGGAAACTTTTCAAAACCCGAGCAGCTGTCAGTGATATTACCTCAGAAGCGCCTCTTTTGCTGCGGAGGATATCCAGTCATCCCCATACCCGGGTCTTTCCTTCTCATCTATTAGAAAGCCATATGAAATGTATTTTACCAAAGGAAGGACACTCATATACATTGAGCAACAATTTTCATCTGAAAACACAAATACCTGCTGCTGTTGATGAGCTTGTGCAGCAACACCCCTCTGCATTGGGATGCCTCCAGGATTTCCCATTCCTGCTTGCGAAGCAAGATTATATGCTGGAATTCCGGAAGGTTGGATCCGTTGCATGCCAACCATCTGCATTGGACGAGGCATAGATCTGTTCTGCATCGCATGAGGCCCCGCCATGCCACCTGACATATTATTTCCAGATGATACCTAACATGACAGAACATAAAAGAGAAAGAAAAAAATCGTGAGAAAAGAAGACGTTCAAGAGGATAATATAATAATGAGTGGCTATTGTGAGTTGTGGAAAAATAACATATAGTGTAAGTTCGCGACGTGCTTATATCATCAATGGCAACTTATGGTCAGATAGGGGACAGGCTTATGAGAGCCGGCTTTTATATCAATTAATTTTATCAACCAAATGTTTCCATTCCAAGCACATTGTACTCCTTAAATGTCCTTATATACTATAACGTTTATTACGCATGTGTTTATAGGTATGAAACTTATGAACTCAATTACAAATAAAAGAAGTTCGATTAACTGTCGATAGTTTTCTAGTTTTTGGTGTTCACTGAAGATTACGTAAGTTAAAAACATTTTCTTTATGGCAGATCAATCTACAATGGCACTTGCACCAGCAAATTTAACCCAAACATTTCACACTAGAACTTTCATAGCATGCACAAACCATAATGTATTGTCTAAAGAAGTAAAGGAGGAACATCATATAGCATGCACGCCACTCTGATAGGTTGCATCTTCATGCTTCGAAAATAGGTTAGATGTTCTGTCATACTCACTATTTCATCCACCAATAATCCCAATTGACTTTTTCCTAAACCAATATCTATATATGCATTACATATATATTAGTGTGCGTAAATTTACCTTCACTAAATTTTTTTAAGTTGCAAGTTGTGTTACCAGAAAAATGTGAGGAATAACAAATACAGTATGGGTCATTTCTCAGGGACAGGGTTACGGGTTTAAATTCATATTTTCACCTTATGTGCACTTTATGTTGCTTATCCGATAGTGAGCACTAAAAGAGTTTAGTTGTAGGTTATAAGCTCCAAAGGTGGCGAGGTTTTATAAACTAGGCAATAAAGTTGGCCTCACACTGCATTGCTTAAAAGTTCACTGCCAATATAATAAGTGTAAAACGCCGTTAAGTATTCAGCATCAAACGCATGTCAAGAATGCACAAGATGGAACCGTTCGCATTTCCAAATTCAGTTCATGCAGAAAATTAAGACGTGCTGATTTAGGTAATATCATCTGAACTAGGTAAACACCACAGAATTTAAGAATTAGTTATATTCTAATCATGATTCTGCAAGTAAAAACATGCAAATAGAGACTCAGTCATGCAACATGATCACTT